GCTCCTTATCGAACCCGGTGGAAGTCTAGTAGCTTCTTCAAACTATCGCCAGTCATGAAAAGATCCGGTCAAATGACACGAGTTTAGATCTATGAACAAGGCACGAAATGGAAAAGAATCGGCGACAGGCCACATCAGGCCTACACTTCAGAGCCGACATCACTATGTTATGTTATGTTATGAGAGCGATGATTAGGTTAATTTACAATGCATTTGTTAAATGGAGTTGAAAAAGCCAAGGTGTCGAATGAAACCAATGTATATACTTGTGTGCCAAGTTTATTGGAAACTGGATCTCGTTGAAATTAATTTCTCTTCTTACGACTGATTGCCGCACTCGAATTGGAAACAACAAGCATGCAAACCTCAACTAGCGCACTATTCTAGGCCGTGTATTGAAGAACAAAAAGTAACTTCTTAAGAAATGACCATCACAACGTAAAGTTGTGCAAACAACGGAAAATGAACGGATACGAACAATTATATTATTTACACAATATACATGGGGTATTTAGGTGTTAACTTGCCAAACTGAACACAAGAATACATGCAGTTCAATACAAGCATAGCGTTTGTCCACCATATCATATTCATTGCAGAGGTTAAAGGAATAATTTCAAGTGTAATACGAGTGCACTACTTCTAGACAGTGCACTTATGCCCTAAACATGAGATAATTGTTACGGTGCAGCCGCTGCGTCCGAATTCTTAAGCAGGAGTCTACAGGACTAACACTCATTTAGCACGAGGCCGCACACAAAAATATCACTTGTAAGATTGTAACACATTATGGATTTTTTCGCTTGACGGTTGTTAGTATGGACATGGAGAGAATGGAATTGCTTGAGAACTTTCAACGCAATACTCAAAAAGGAGCAAATATGTCACAAGAGCAAACCTTGCCCCGTCGTACAGTAACAATTACGGAAATGCAACAGAGGATTGTAGTAAATTCAATGAATAATAGCAACCATACTTCATAATTACATGTCAAAAAAATAATAGAAAAATGTATAAAGTGCACTCAAAAAATTCACAGAACATGAATTTAGGAATATATGACAGGCTGATTAGCGAAATTTAGCGGTTTTGATCGAGGTATTGTTCCAGCCCGCGCTGAACATTCCAACTTTATCGTTGACAAGAAGCTAACATTGCAGCACTGCACGGTGCATATAACCTTGCTAAGGAAATATTTACGTTCCATTTTGTATGAGAGTATTTTTAAGATTCTATAAGATAAGGAATATCAGTCCTGGCGCTTGAATTTGAGTGAGCTGAGAGAGAAATTAAGAGTGTTAATTGAGAGTGAACATTTCTCTTTTCTCCACAATGCATATGAAAACAATAACTCATCGCAACATTAGACGTATTTCAGCAGTAAATTACTATATATTTACAGAGCGTCTCCACCAAAAACATTCTACTGACCAGTCACTCTTCGTTGGATTAGCCGCCGTATGGATTATCACAATAAATCTATTTAATCTACGGTGGCAGTTAAATAAGCTCGACATGTCCGGACTTGAGGAGCTCTTGTATGCTGCTGTACATCATTAAATGCTGGTCACCTGCCACCAGGTCAACTTCTTCGTCAGCATTTTCGCCCACTTGATCACTAATAAGAACACCAGGCGAATCTTTCAGTACTTTCAGGAAGACATAACCGTTCATGTTAGGGACAACACTCATTTTCTTGGCATCAAATTCTGCGAGTTTCTCGTGAGTGATGTGTCGTAAGACGAGCTTGTTGAAGTGAGACTCGATGCTCTGGGCATAAGACTTGGCGTAGTCCAGCTCCTGGGGGGACAGCAAGGCTAGACTAGGGTCGTCCAGCTCACCATGCTTTTCGAGCAGGTAATGCGTGAAGCGCTCAATTTTCAGGAGCCGACATCTGAGGTAGCTGGCTACCACGTACCTCACGCGCTCCAGCTCCATGCGATGTATTGCGAGACGCAAATCAGTTTTCTTACATCTTCTCAAGTTGTTGTTCATCTGCGTGATCTGGTCGAGCATGCAGTCGACCAGTTCACTCTGGTGGCACTCGAGAGTTGGAGACAGACGTTCAGTTCTCCACAAGCTCTCAATTTTTAGAAGAACTTCAGCAGCTGTCACAACCTGACTTTCATCGTCGTCGGAAGCGCTTAATATATCGTCTGTTATATCAGCCATTTTCATAAGTCAAATGTTGGTCAAACTTTGCGTGAATAATTTAAAAAAATAATAGTGATAGTTCTGGGATCAAGTATGTAGAATAATAACGAGGGAAATTAATTTTAATTTCTAAGTTCAAATAAAAGCTGCAAAGAAAATAAACAATCTGAATTAGTAAATATCAAAATTGTTTCAATGCACAGGCTTCACGATCAGCCTGAAAGGTCGTTAGTCTACTTGAGGAAGTTCTGACTCAATTCCTCCATAATGCGGCTAACTGCGATAAAAACCTCATGTTCTTTGCTGAAGCATCAGAATCAAATATCACAGCTCTTTCATGAGCAAGTCAGGTGGCTGTCCTTACTATGCATTTGTTACATTATTAGTTGTTATATTCATCCCTTATTAAGATTTTCCCATTGAAAATGTAGTAAGAGACAAATTTTACATGTACAAGGGAAAGTAACTATTGGATAACAATAATACTGCATGATGGTACTTGCGATGTACTACTTCATATACTGGTATTACAATATTGCGATGGTACGCAATGACTGATGGATGACTGGGCACCCTGCGAGGAGCTGTCAGTTTTTCCCTTAACCTCTACCGTATAATTCTAAACAATCCTCAGTCTTAAGCTCATACATTTTAGAAAGGATAGACAACAACCAGAAAGCAGCCTGTCTAGTTTCTTTTTCATTTTAAAGTTAACTTAGCCCATTTAGACCTGGGAGTACTCAACTCCAGTTAATTTTGTATCCCTCTTTATTCATTCTGTTTATTTGTGTACATAAAGAAGATTCACAGAACTTGTCACATTTAGTATCTCATTTAAGGTTCGTTCCTCCAGTGGCAGACATATGAGCATACACCAGAAGAGGGGAGGGGGGCAGAAGGAAGGCAGAAGCCACCACCTCTGCAGGATTGCTAGGGGAGAATATATGGACATGGCTGAGGGGAAGAAATGGCGAGCAGCAATTGGTGACAACCCAAACCTAAACATTTACGATGACAGGCCACAGCTGTGGCCAACCATAGCCGTAACTGGGAACAGCTTGGCAGTGGCTGAGCCATAGCTGTGACTGGGAACAGCTGTGGTCCAGCCATAGCAGTGACTGGGAACAGCTGTGGTCCAGCCATTGCAGAGACTGGGAACAGCTGTGGCCCAGCCATTTCAGAGACTGGGAACAGCTGTGGCCCAGCCATTGCAGTGACTGGGAACAGCTGTGGCCCAACTATTAACTGTTCACCAATACATTATTGAGTGATAACTTCAAGGAATTTTAATTTTATGAAGAGTAATATTGAAAATTTGCAGTATTTTCTTTGATTAACTGTTGCACGGTTCAAACATACCTATATTAAGAGGTGGCCTGGGACTGCTATGTCCAAAATACATAACTACCGTAAAATGGGGTAACTTTGACCACTTTTTTTCAAAATGATGCCATTTTTTTACTAGATAAGTTAAACTTGAATTGAAACATGCAAAATACAGGTCTATACTCTACCTTTACTCACCAAAAATTGCTGGCTCCTGCCTCCCATAGTTTTGATGTAATTTCAAAAAAAGTGATGGTCTTTGTTACCCCAGCTCTTGGGGTATCTTTGACCGGGTGGTGAAATCAAGTTTATTTTTTGGTAAAATAACTCCAAATAACTCCAGGTTTTGGTGCATTGTAGTAGAACTCTTCTAGTTACATATGCAAATGACAAATTTGTGGGACGTGTCATAGCTTGCAAATTGGGGGCACCGCCCCCCAATAGGCAAAATGTGACCACCTAATGGCAGCCGTGACGGGGTAACATTGACCGGCTTGGAAATTAAGTTAAAATTACCATATATAAGACTCTGTAGAGTCTGAAACATAAAGAAAAAACATTAATAGGTGTATGAAACATAAAATATGTTATATAGGTACCTATGGTAATTTTAACTTAATTTCCAAGCCGGTCAATGTTACCCCGTCATAATCATTAGGTGGTCAAAGTTTCCCCATTGGGGGTTGGCACCCCTCATTTGCAAACTATGACACTTTCCTAAAATTTGTCTTTTGCATATGTAACTAGAAGAGTTCTACTACAATGCATCAAAACCTGGAGTTATTTTACCAATAAATAAAAAAATTGGAGGGGGTACTCCGACAGGCTTTAAATAGTAGCTCTTTTTTGTGGGTCACATTATTAATTTTTTAACCTATTAGATATGCAAACTTTTTAAATCTTTCTATTGTGTTACATAGCCTCAGTATTAGGCCTTTGATGCCATTGACAAAATTTTTCTATGTCAAATCATTTTTGAGTTTTGGGGGTTTTTGTTAAAAAAACGAAAAGTGGTCGAAGTTACCCCACCGGTCAAAGTAACCCCATTTTACGGTACCAAGGATATAAGATTCACATGTACGAGGAAGAATGAACTCAACTACAATACAGAACATGCCAGAGCAATGCCTTGCACAATATTTGATGGCAGATTAGATGGGAGCAGCATGCTGTAACTATGTTTCTTTAGGAGCTAATCAGCAACTCTTTGATCTGATGTAATTAGATGCATGAGATCACAATGGGCCCGGGGCGCAATGTAATTGTCACTTTAGGTTAGGGGAGGGCAGTTCCTCCATCTAACAAAGGGGATGAGTTATTCCATAATCATGCCAAGCTGGTAAATAAAATGTATAAAAAAAATTTTAAAGACCACGTTTTTCATATGGACTCAAAAGTAGAAAATAATTTTTCGGCAGCTACTGATCTCTGTTTGCTTTCATTCTCTTGGTCTTTTGTATTTCAGTTAAAATATTTTACAACATCTAAAACGAAAAACGTGGGGCGCATATGTATTTAATTGTTTGGTGATTACTTGATATGATGAATATGATGGTTCATTGAACATTTGATAAGTGTATTGCTGATATAATTAGAAATAGTGGTTGAATTCAAAATTGAAATTAAGGCATGCCTAAATGAAGATGCGCCCCACATTTTTCGTTTTAGATGTAAAATATTTTAACTGAAATACAAAAGACCAAGAGAATGAAAGCAAACAGAGATCAGTAGCTGCCAAAAAATTATTTTCTACTTTTGAGTCCACATGAAAAACGTGGTCTTTAAAAATTTTTTTATACATTTTATTTTCTACTTTTTAGTTGTTTTAAGTATTTTATTTTCTCATTTTTTGTCCGTTGCTACACACGAAACACGTTGTTGCGAGCCAATTTACTTGACTTGATGTACGTATCGATGATACGAAGCGTATCATCGATATACGCAGTCTAAACACGAATATCCTCTCGAGGATGACGTGCATTAAAGGTTCCAACCCCTGCTTGTGAGTTCCTTTAGAGTTTATACGCCTGGAAACGTGCAACAAATTATTGATTATTGTATTGTTATCGGGAGCTGAGCTTCCCTAAAAGTTTCAGAGCGCTAGCTAATGGGAAAGTTGGTGAAATATCGATTGCAAGATTTGATCATCACAGACACGAAAGCGAGCTAAGAAAAACGTGGTAATATGGCAGATGCCACCGATAAAAACACTTGGTTTCAAGGTCAACTTTACCCATCCCTATGACAGTTGTCCAATTTCTTTAATGAAAATTTAGAAAAATGGCACATTTATTGCCTGATTTTTCTGAAAATCATCTGTGAAATGATTGCCTTTACCTGTGATTTTTGGAAAATTCTGCCCAATATTCCTGATTAGTAATAATGAGTAAAATGACTGGTAATATTGAAATAAGAAGTCCTAGACTGAAAAAAATAAATCTATTTAGTTTAGTGGCTTCAACCTCATATTAAGCATTAACTGTGCTGAAGCACTTGGATAAAGTTAACTTACAATATGCATAATAATTTAAATAAATTTTATTTAAATCTAAGTTTGAGGGTTTTATTAAAATCTAATTAACTTTATAATTTTATGGCTAAAAAACAAGATCCATTAAAAAAATAATAGCGGTTTCAGCATTTATTAGACCGGACGCTTGTCACTGATTCATTGCAGAACATCCACAGCTTGTTTCAGACTTGAACTCACAACTCACTGCTTCAATTTTGCTTTACTTAATCTTAACCGCCCGGCCTCCTTGCCGATTCTGACCAGAAACTGGCGCACAGAGCTGGGATCAAACCTGCGCCTCACTGGCCTCTGCTCCAATCTTGGTACTCTGAACTTTAACCACTGGGCCACCCTGCACCCATTATTCGCAACCTTTACATGGAATTGTAGTTTTTCTTCTTATTATTCACATTTTTTTCAGCTCTTAAGAAATTTTAGCAAATTCAGGATTAGAAATTTCCAATTAATACTGAAATATATAATATTGCAACTTCAAAGTGATATATTACTATATAATTACTATATAATCTATATAATCTATTTATTATATATAATAAATTATAATATAATATATAATAATTTTTTATATATAATCTATTTATTACTATATAATCTTACAGCCTAGTTGTGCAGTTGTGTTACCAGGGCCCCAGGGGCAGGCAATTAGAAAGGAAACAGTTCATCTAGTCAATCTAGTGAGAATCTTGCCATCCCAAAATTGGCTGGTAAGCTACAGTAAAGGTGAATAGCCTGTGCCCTTTGGCAGCCCATTCAGGATTCAGCCATTTGTAATATTCATATTGGCATGTTTTCCTAAAATTGCTGGTAAAAACAATCACTTCAAACTTCAGAGAATTTTTAAAATTGCATGTATAAAGTACATTTTTCTCCATTTTTTTCACTGAAAAAATTGGTAAAATGCCCATGGTCAGGAAGATGTGCCAGGTGCGCAGGAATTATTTTGTCATTTTAACAACCTGCGCGGTGTGCCGTACTACGTTGGTAAAAAAATGCGCCGTGCGCCGTACTTTAGAAAGCTAAAATAGTTCTACTATTTTAGTCGACAATATATGCGAGTATATTTACTACGCGAGTCGAACTGACAATAATAAAATGTAAGACATGTCCGGGTTACTTCTGACTCTTCCGCTTGTCCGCCTTGTCGGATACGGAACGTACGGTAATCGTAAACTGCGGCTATTATACATACGAAATGTAAACAGACGGTGTTCAGTGTAGCCATATGACTTTGGAGAAAATTTCTTCTAAAATAAAGTTCTAGATTTCTCATTCACCAAATTTCCGGGAT